ACTGAAAACAGCTGAAGCTGAAGCAACAACTTCAGTTGAAGCTGAAGCAACAACTCACTAAAGCTGAGTTACCACACTTTCTCTTTCCCTGCTCATCATTCATGTGAATGACTGTTTCTAGAAGTCAGTGAGGAAAAATAAATGATGCAAAGGCTGAGAGAATGAATTGGAGGAGTAAAGAGAACAAGATTTACATTTTGGAAGGAAGATAGTTGTTATTCAAAGGAACTGACTAGTTGAAAACTCCTTTCTGCCAGATTTCACACTCATCTGCTGCTTTAAAGAAAGATGTAAAGTGCATTTAAGCTATTTTACGAGCACTAAGCTGGCAGCACTGGAGGCCAAGGCTTTCAATTTAACTCTTTAGCTCAGAACAGGCTGTGGCTCTGCAGCCTGTCCCTTGTTCTTCCAAATTGTCTTTCCAGGTCCCTCTCCTCCGTACCACTCATAACATTTAGTGATGGCTTGCAAATGTAAGGTTTGGCTGCTGTGGAATTTGTGTCTAGTTGGCAGCTTCTCTTTTCCCTGGCCTTTTCTGTTGCAACAGTGGCTGTTATGACCATTTGTGATGTTAGTAAATACAAAGATTCAAAAGAATGAGATATGGGATTTTCTTGACAGTTTTTCAATGGAAAATTGTATTTCCAATTCTCTGTGCATAATCTTGTGTCATGTGTCTTCCTAATAAGCAGAGGATGGAAAGTATTAGTATTCTGAAGATTTTAAGTGCAAACAGACTTCTTCAACTCCAAAACATCCATGTTGACTTGAGGTAGATGTAATTCAGGAGCCCATGCTCTGTATTACTCCTCTAGGCTGGCTCAGATGAACCATTTCCCATTTTCTGCTAGAATGATGCAATTGATGCAAGGCTTCACTAGCTCCTACCAAGTGAGACATCATCATGCATTCTATAAGATGTCATTGCAGTAGGAAAACTCAGTGTAAAGTGAGAATGGGGAAGCAGGAGGCACCTGAACTACAGCTGCAGTAGCATTTCATACAAAAAATGTTTGAATTTTCAAAAGATATATTTTAGGTCTTGATATATTGGAGTGCAAAGCATTAAATCTCTACATGTTTCTGACAAAGAAGAATTGTTTGTGTTCTTGTCAAATTTTCCTGTGCTGTTTTCCACTCAGGCCTGGCAAAAGGCAGGCCATGAGCACTTTTCATGTAATCTGGAAAAATCCCAAAAACTCTCAAGAAAGAGCAAGCAGGTCAAAGTAGACAACAGATTTTTCCTGTTCTTGAAAAAGTTGCCATTGAAATGTGTACAAAATAATTACCATGCTCAACAAAAGGACACTTTTTTAAAAAGATTAACTGTCATGGAACAGCTGCAAGAGACTTCATCTAGGAATGTCTATTTGGGCAATTTGCAGAGAGCTTTTTGTGCAGAGAATGGTAATTCAAACCACTCCGCTTTTGGCTTTTCCTTATCCTTCACGGTTCAATCCTCATTCACATGCGTACGCCCATACACGCACTCATAAACTGTCTTTAGATGTGGACGTGCTTTAATTTGGGTCCTGATTCACTTCCCAACATGAAACTGATTAAAGAAAAGCTGGGATGTGGAGACCATGAGTCGAATGAGTAGGTCAGGCTTTGTTCATTTCTTTGTCTTTACTCTGTGACAAGTCTTTTCTTCTAAGAAGCAGTGACCAAGCCAGAAGCAGGGTTTCATTTTATGTTCTTCCATGATCATGAAGCACAAGCTTCATCTGCCATAGAACTTAAACTTGAGAAGAAACTTCTTCTCAGTGAGGGTGACGGAACACTGGAACAGGCTGCCCAGGGAGGTTGTCGAGTCTCCTTCTCTGGAGACATTCAAAACCCACCTGGACACATTCCTGTGTAAACTTATCTAGGTGTTCCTGCTCCAGCAGGGGGATTGGACTAGATGATCTTTCGAGGTCCCTTCCAATCTCTAGCATACTGTGATACTGTGATACTGTTGAAAGAATTGGGTCTTCTTCTAAAGATCAGGAAAACGGGCAGAGCTCCCAGTTATGCCTCCACTGTCCTGTCTTACAGGCACAGTGCCAGTATTCACATGGCTAGGGGCAAGAGGGGACCTGGGACTCATTTTCAGAATCAGCTGGGTGCCCACATGTTCAATGACTATGACACCTTTCCTACTTGCCCCAAGTGTGAAATCAGTGGTGGATCGCACAAGGATGAAAAGAATCACAGGATCAGGATCTATGATACAAGGTCAGATCCCAAAACCCATACCCTTAAGCAGTTTAGAAAATGGATAGAAAAATACATGGGATGCCTGTCTCCGGAGTAAAGACCAGTACATGGGATATCCCCTGTCTTAAGCATGCCAGAATCATTGGATTAGTATGCTCTCTTTTCCTTCCTTACTTGCTTCTGGTGCAGTGAGCCTCTGGATTGCACATTTACTTGGCATCAGTGGAAGAAGTGATGAATTTGTCACTTCCCCATTCAGCTCAATCCAGAACAGCCAGAAGCCTCATGGTTAGACATAGTTAGAAAGGTTCAATTCCAATTTCTGTTCAAGTTCCTTGCTCTAAGGAATCCAGTGAGGTTGAAAAGGTTATGAAAATATTATCTGCAGTAGAACAGATGCAAAGAGGGTGCAAATTTTAGGATGCCTCTGTCCCCAGTATTACCTGGGACCAAAGTTTAAGTGTGAGCAATACGGGCTTAGGTTGACATGGTCAGCAAACCAGTTCTTCCATTTTGATTTGACTCTTTCTCTCCGTGAGATGTTTTGGATCCAAGGGTCAGAAATGTAAAGGCTAATCTTTTCAAGATTCTGAGTCCATATTTGTGTCCCTAAATCCTTTCATACAGAGTATGGGGATTAACATTTGTCCTTTTTTACCCAGTACACAGGAAAACCTTTTCCCAGCATTCATTTAGTGCACCATGAATAAAATGCAACATTACAAATCATGAACCTCCAAATTCAGATGAGGACTCTTTCAGTTTCAGGACTGCATAGGTGGGCATGAGTAGGCACTGAGCAAAAAGGACACCTGCGTAACGTGCCTTTGCTCTTTTTGATCCTGCGAACCAGTAATTAGGACTCTCGAATAAAACACACCAGAATTATGAGTCACCAGTGTAGCACAACACAGACATCATCCATGAGAAATTTGCTTGCTCTCTGGCAACCTGAATTAAACAAGAAGCATTGGGGAGCTATTCTTGTTTTGTGGCTTTTGTATAAAGTGAGGTTATGCTGAGGAAAGTGGTGATAAAAATGACACTTCATGCACTAGGTCTCCTTGCCTTAACAGCAGCCCTTATTTTTACTGACACAAATAAAATCTTACTAGTGTCAGCACTGTAGTCAGGCAAAAGTCAGGCAAAAAACTCTGTTCCATGTTGCCATATCCATCATGAAAACACACACTTCCTCCTCCTTTCTGAACTTAGAATCATTGTTAGTGATGGTGTGTGAAACAGAAAGAACATAACTTGATAGTGAGATATTGCTTTGAACTTGGATTTGCTGGCAGGTGAAAGTCTTAGTTTTGATATTTAAATGATGCATGTTTGGGATGGAAGTCACTGAGAGGGAATAAACAGGGAACACTACGAATGCATTTTACAGACTCACTTTTCAGACCGTAACAATACTTACAAGAGGAAAATGGACTGAATTTAAATGCTGACAAAAGGCCCTGGACTTACAGTACTGTGGGATAAAGTTCTTAGACACTGTACCCATTGTTTCTGCTACAGTATGAGTTTCTTGCTTATTACCAGTCAGTTTGAGGGCTATGTTTCCCCTTCCTCCAGGCTCCGAGTTCATGTCAGAATGCCATACTCAGCACTGTGAAGTCCAGAAGTGGTGGCAGGCAAGGCCAAATCACTGTAAATGGGTGTGTTAACCTATCTGTCATGTGCACTTGTGATGCAGTGGCTTCTAGGTAATAACAACAGCAATCTGTGCCTTTCCAAAATGTCCATATGAGCTGACAGGTGTACTCAGTGTTAGTGCAACCACGTCTTGCTCTGATCAGCACCCTGTTGCTAGTCAGCTTGTTGATCCAATAACTGTATGTTGAAAGAAGCAGAGCAATCACTGCATTTTCATCCTATTTTCCCTCTTTGTCCTGATGGCTTTCTTCCAGGAGAAAGGGGAACAAACGTAAAGCTTTGCAGAGTTTACAGAGAGCAGCCTCTCAAGAGGCTTCAAGAAAGGCATTGCTGCCAACCCTTGTGGGTGAGTTGCAGGAGAGCTGAGCTTGCTGACTACTTAGAGATGATCTCTGTCTGGATGAGTCGTGCAGGTGACATCCTTTGCATTAACAAAAAAAGACAACATGCAGCTGAGTATCATCTAGGACGTTACTATCAAAACAGGCACAAGTCTACAGAATAAATGTGCACCTGCAGGAGGAAGGGAGCCAGGGAAGGTAATTTTCAGTAGAATTTGCTTTCATTGGGTGGTTTGGGGTTCTTTTTAAATGGAATTTCTTTTATCTCCATGTAAACTTACAGTATTTCTTTTCTCCTTAGGTTGCTTGTCCCACTGAAGTGCTGGTGATGATGTCATCACCACTTGATCCCAAACTGAGCTATAGGCAGCTGGCATTGTAAAGAGAAGTTTTTGTTTGGATGCCACTCCTTCTTCTGCCTACTTATTTTCTGAAACTTGGAGGTGATATTTTTGAAGTCTCTGTCCCTCTCCCCAATGCAGTAAAATCCACTGATGGCTCCAAAGTGGCACACACCTGTAGCCCAAATGACCACATTAACCTTCTTCCACTGAAAATCAGACTAAAATATGGCATTCCCTCTACTCTGTGAACCACTACTAGTCAATGCCACAGTGAAAGAGAGTGATATGAGGACAGAAGGCATGCCCTAAATTCCACCACGTCTATTTACAGCTTCATTGTTCTGACTGCTGTTACATGAAATGGTGCTGGCATGATGCTCTCACATGTGGGCACACACTCTTGTCAAAGCTTAAAAGGTGCAGGTTCCTAAGGAATCTATCAAAACTGTGGGATATGTGGTACTTCAAACACAGGCAGCTAACCAGCTGATCTGGGACTTAATCCTTCTGACCCTTCCAATGTAATTATATGTTGCTGCATAGTATTGCCCTTTTTACCTTCTTTCTGTTTTTCCCTAGGTTTAACAAACACACTTTGTGAATTTTGGATGATAGTTGCTTCTCTTATTCTCTGCTAGTCTAAGGAAGTATAATTTTCATGTGTTTTCACATTTTGTAGACTGGTGGGAAAAAGAAAAAAAAAAAGAGAAATTAACTCTTCCTCTTTTTCCTTATGATTTATATGGCTTGTCTCCTTTGTGTTCTAGCTGTGCATTATGCCTCTCATTTTCCACGTCTAGTTTATGACCACTGAGTCTTTTCAGCAAGTATATGCCTTACATTCGTATATTATAGCACACAGAGGTCTGCTAGTGCTGTGAATCTGCATGGGGATCTGTGTCATCCTACAGTCTTCTGTGTTTACAGGCTCTTCTCAAAGATTTGCATTTTCGTCTGCTGCCTGGGGATCATGAGGGCTTTTCAGAACTGTTGATATTCTGACACACCGTACAGTGCCGTCATAGAAGTGAATAGATGATGTCTCATTTGGATGTAACCCTTGTTAGTGTAGTCCAATGATACCCAAAGATCAATTGCTCTGAGATTTTGCATATGGCTTTGGAAGCTGAAAAATTGAGGCTAATAGGAAAGAGCAAAGTACAGTGCTGCCTAGGGTATTCTCAGAGTCAATGTAGGACCATGAGGCAGGGTCTCATGAAAGCTCATAGAGCTTTGACATAAAGAATATATCCACTGCTTTCCTTGGTGTGCGAGCCCCATCATTTTTTTTTCTTTCAGTATATTCAGTATCTCAGAAGACTGAATCTGCTCGAAAGTGCAAGTGTTCCAGCAGCTTAACACTAGCCCAAAACCTCCTGAGGTTTTCACTGGGGACTTAAGAACATTCAGGTTGTTTTCCACATTAAACCACACAGACAGAACCCACACTTGACCCATTTGTAAACTATGACTGAATTATCTTGGTTTTCAGCAGGGAGACAGGGTGAAATCTAAAAACAAAAGGGTGACTGTACTTAAGAAGAAATGGTAGAAGTTCTGGTTTTAGAGCAGGAGCTGTTCCAGGTTAACTAGCAAGTAATTCTTAGCTAAATCAAAGAAATGCAAGTTGAAATTACATGTTGATCTTTTTTTTTTTTTAATAAGCTTTTAAATTTCAGTTTTTATCCTATTTGTATGTCTCCTATTGCATTCAAACACCATCATGGCTCTGCCCACTAATTCGATTTTCTAGCAGAAAGAAGAACCAGATGGAGCCTATTTAAGAAGGTCTGTGAAGAGGAAAGTAACTTCCCCATTTTGTGGTAAGTGGAGGGAGGTTAAAACCTTGTTAATGATATCTGTAAGGTGAAGGTGTTGTCCATGTTTCATTTTCCAGGAAGAAAACTGATTTCACGTATATTAATTATGTTGTTAGCAGCTACAGACGGTTTCATTCTTCTTTTTGTAGTAGTCACAAGGAACAGGTTTTTGAAGGAAAAGGACAGGATAGTCAGCTTATGTAGCTATTACTACAAGTACCTGTATAATTACTTTGCTTGAGAGTATCTCTGATTGAATATATTGGGCAAATTAATCTGCTGCACCGCATTTCTGAAGCATGCTAGGGCTGAAGTTTTAGCATAAATAAATCTAGTGTTTATTCAGCCCCACATTTCAAAAGCTGTTTGAGATGTTGTTGACATCACATAACTTTCAGTTTTAATTTGTAGAAGTTGCCCTTTTGTTCCTGTAATACATCATGGTGTCAAAGAAGACATGACAGTCATTACTGGTCTTTTCAAGTTTGTTCTTTTTCTCATGAAGCTCGGCATTTTTCTTTTGAATTGAAATTCTTGTTTCACAGACATCCTTCAGGTATTCTGTCTAGATTTGTCCATTCTAGATCTTTCTCCATAAATGAAGAAACTCTCCACAGACAACTTATGCTGCTGCAGGATATTCAGTGTTGCAAGTTTGATAATGTAGGGTTGTATCTCATTATAATTTGGGGAAAAAATATATTCAGGCGGAATATAATTGCTCCAATTGTATTTGGGGGAACATCTTAAGCTATTTTTTTTTCACTCACAAAACGGATATTCTCAGTAGCAATGTATTTTTCATTGGAAATATAATAATTTTCATTGGAAATACAAGAGTCACTCATTACTACTCTCACTACTGAGTGAGAAACACTATAAAAATAACTGCAAGACCTTTTTTTCTTATACTTCTATGTAGTGATTTTGAAAGTTCCTGACTTCAACATTAGAAGTCAGAGAAAAAAAAAGAGAAAGATGTCAAAAAATCACAGAAGAATTTTCATTTGTGCATGAAATACTTTTGTTTGTTGTTTAAACTGGCAGGCTACGTTTATTTCTGAATATGTTTTTACCTTTTACCCAGCTTAACGAAGAAATGGTCTTAATAATATATGTCCTCTCCTTTGTGCCATCTCCCAGACTGGTTCCCCTCTTTTGCTTGGAAGTTTATGTCTCATGTTCTTCCAAATGTTCCTCTTTATAAAATTGTGCAGTGAGAAAACAACATCAGGAAAACACATTAGGGAATGACAGATGTGCAGGCAAGTGGTAAAGCAACACATCGTAAACTGCTCTGACAACTCTCTTCAGTAAGTACTTGGGAAAGAGTTTTACAGTTAAGATTAATGTTGCCCAAATTGTGTCCCAAAGTTCAGATCTGGCACTGAATAATTCTGTCTGGGTCATCATCTTTCTTTTCCTCCATCTTGCAGTGCTGTGCACAGCAAAGGCGGGGGGGGAGGGGAGTTTGCCTTCATGTGAATTCAGAAATACCTACTGAATGGGCAACAGAATCAAAGAATAGAAAAGGATAGATCACTGGTTAAGTCCAGTGCACAAATCAAGCAAATGTTGCCTGTGTTCTTGCAGGAGGTTCATACCAACATTAGTAATATTTGTAAATTTTTGCTGACAAAAATGCTACTTTGGATAACAATAAACATAAAAATTTATTGCTCTATCCATCTGTAGGTACAGACATGGGCCCATTTCTAGATTCGCCAAGAAACTCCAGTAAAGCAGAGCATAAAGGTCCCAGGAAATGCACATCAAAGCACTGCCCAGCTTGTTTGCACATCTGTGTGTTCAGAACTGCCAGAATAACCAGTTAAAGCTTCTTGTAGCTATGATGATGCAAACACAGATTCTTAGTGAAACCTGAGAGGACTCTGCTATGACCAGATAGCATTTGCTGAGGCTGCAGTTCACTTGTAGGCTGAAAAGAGCCTGGCCACACCAGGGAAATAAAGCTCCATTGATATTTTCCTGCTGGGACCATTTGCTACCCCTTAGAGCTGCTGAACTCCAGAGTTATTTCTCTCTGATCCTGTAATAGCCATCTGTTAATAGCGTGTTTAGCACATTGCACTGCAAACAAGAGGGTGATGGGGTGGTAGCTGAAATATATATATGAGGAACACAGCAGAATCATGTGCTTCCTGCTCTCCAGAGCCTGATAACAAAACAAAACAAAAATGCCATTGAGAGCTGTTGTTGCAGTGGAACAAAGCCTAATAAAAGCTCTTCAAAGAGCCATCTGGACTGTGCTAAGGATGCTGCTCCATGCTAAATACTCATCCTTTGGCAAGTCTGTGTTATAATCAACATCTAGGGTTCCTCTATCTATTCCAGCAGTCTCAGGCTAGAGAGCTGCATGAGTTGACAAAACTCTGACATCCTTGGAGACTGGTTTTCAAACTCTGCTGAACAGCTCATGCCTGGTCTGAGATGAAAAAGAATGTCCTTGACATCTTTTAACATATGTACTTTTGCTTTTTGTTTTTTGAAGAAAAGCTGTAACCTCTTCTTTTTTCTATCCACACAACTGGGTTTGGAACTGAGGTATGGTCTTGGGAAGGGTTCAGCAGTTTGTATCACCATTGGATGACTGAGAAACTTTATTCAGTGCAGCACTGAAGATCTCATTGCAATGAAGTAAAGGTTTTACCTCTATTTGTAAAGGTTAGCAGAAAGACCAATAGCAATAAAGAATAAATCATCTTATGGTTTTGTTTTTCTTTCAGTGATGAAATACAGTTATTCTGTAGTCCATGTATGCTGAAAAGTGACTGAAAAGAAACATCACTGCTCTTTCTCTGTCTTGAAATCAATTGTGTTAAGCATTTGTTGACAGTTCTATTCCCAACAGCAAAAGTAAAATATTAAATTATATTCAAAGTCATTACCCTTTTACCTCCAGCTAACCCATCTTCCCCCTGTACTTGCTGGCAAGCATTCAGTGTTGTGGATCCAGTCCTCAATGCTGTAGAGTTAGCTGCCTCATTCCTTCAGCTTGCCTCCTCACCATGGAGAACAAACAGATGAAGAGGTTGGAGAGGCTGCTATATCCCTACATCACAGCAGTTCTTGCCCTACACACAGATTCATTGGAGCTACTGGCAGCTGATGTAGGCTGCAATGTTGTCCTAGACTTTCCAAGGGAATCTGCGTACAGGGCAAAGAAATCTCAGGGTGAAGAATATTTGAGGAAATGTTTGTGCCTTTGAAAAACATATTCCTTGGACGGTTCTCCATGTGTGACAGATGTAGTTCAGTGTTAGCCCAAATAAGGATATGTTGCCTGTAAGGCAAGATAAGACTTTGATGGCAATAATTTACATGAAGTCTCCTGGATGTGTACAGCTAGGAGTGGAATGTGTACAGTGTCAGCTGCCAAGTGTGACAAAAAAAGCAAGCAGGTTGCCTCTAAGATCTTTTTCTTGAGTTTGTGACATAGACAGAAAGACAAATATTTTCTCTTTTGTTCTCTTTTTAACTAAGTGAAGCTGATCTACAAATCATGCAATTACTGCCATCTTTTTTTTTTACTGCCACCTCTCTGACAGAGCCCACCTTAAAGGGCTCCATTCTATTTGCTGCTTTGGAAGCCAAATATTGGTTAGGAAGAGAATACAGTAAGTTAAAAACATTATTAACATGAGAATTAATAAGCCTAGAGCTTTTATTAGGTCTGTCTGACATCCAGAAACCCAAAGGGTATTTGCACTGATAGGAGTCAGTGACCTGAAAAGATTAAGCATTGCCAGCTAATTATGATATCCTTATAGCAGGGATTCTTTCATTAATACTGAGATATTTTTTAATATACAGCTTTTGAGGACCATCAGCGCTACAATCTGCAAGCGTACAGCTAGTGTCTTTTCTATTCACTGATACATTACATCCCTGTGCCGATGATAGTAATTGCCTGTATGGGAAAGTACTATTATGAGATCACTTAAATGTATTTGTAACTATTTCTAACTCATCTGTAGCTGCTGGAAACGAAGAGAAGAAGCCAGAGCCATGTGAGCAGGCAGCTGCTGTTGGCAACCAGTCCCATGTGCTCTGTGAGACATGTCTAAGAACCTCTGTGTTGGAGCAAGGCAGCTTTTGAGCACAAGTTGCAGCTGCAGAGCTGTGCCCACTGAGGTGATGCTAGAGGAAAAGTCATGAAAAGCTTTATGACTGGGTTTTTCCTTATTGCTCAGTTGTACACCTTCAGATGTCCTGAAGCTTTAGTCCAGGCCCTTCTTTTCATCACAGTTAAGTGATATTTTCTAAGAAGTCCACTGTAATGAATCCTCTCTTGGACAGCTGGCAAATTTGATAATTAAAAAAACTGCTGGGTTGGAACAGACTGAGCAAAGATTTCTCTGGCAGAGGATCTTACCTCCAGTATTGCCCTGTTATGGATGGAAAGAATAGGAGCAACAGGACACGCAGAAGGTGATCCTTCATCCTGACATACCCCTCAGTCTTCTAGAGAAAGAAAGTTTAGGAGCTTGAAAAGTCAGCTGTTAAAATCCACCACAAGCACACCTTTGGTTTGGGTTCAACTCCATTGCTGGCAGCAGCTATTTCCTCCACTGTCATTCAGTTATACTGAAAAATGTCAATTTTGATTAAATCTCTTGTTCCATTCTGGAAAGCCTTGCCCTAATCCCAGAATGTTTATATAAACTTCTGTGATGCTGCTGTTCCAGTTGGAATGCCACAGCACTCCCTCTCTAGGTTAGTCTAATGGATATGCTTGCTGGCACTTCCCCTTTCAGCAGGACTTGTAGGGTTAGTCACACATCCTTGTCGCTAACACCAGGCAACCCTACCACTACTTCTTTTACAGTAGTGGTTGAAACAGCCCAATAGGAGGAACTTGAGCCAAATAGGCCATCCACTGCTTTTTAGTAGGAACTTCGCTGGAGCAGGGCAGGTGTATGCGAACACAAGCATCACAGTTCCTGCAGATCACTCTCAGAAATTCATTTGGGTACTGAATGAGAGAGGGAAAAATCAACTTGGTAATAAGAACTTATTCACTGCTCCAGGTGAGGAATTAAATTAAGATGACACAGACATAGGTAGGATGAAAATTATCTTCTTAGGTATATCTGGAGGACCATCCAACCAGTGCAAAACTAAAATGAAATTAATGATATTCAGTTTTCTTCAAAATAATATTTTTCTTTTAGCATGAACAAAACCCAGCCCTCCAGCTCCCTGAAGATACCACGCTTGCACAGTACTATGTTCCCCTGATTTGTTCTGGTTCATCCACACTCAGTAAACCTGACGCCACTTCATTGTTCCAAGGAAGTGTCATCACCGCATGGAAAGGATATTTATTTCATGGTTGCAGTAACTTTGCACTGGATCCCAAACCCTTAAGGCTTCTTCAGGGAGCAATGAAAAAGTTCAGAAGAATCAAGACACCTTTAAAGAATCTTCAAATTAAAAATGGCTGGTATCAGGAGTGGATTAGAATTGGAATTGGCCCAGCAGACGAATGCACAACAGAAGCTGCAAATGTTACACCAATGTGAAGACTGTTCTAAATAGTGGTGGGAAGACAGAGTGGGTTTCTCAATGTCCCTTGTACTCCCCTCCTAACCGTGGACTTTACCTGATGATATATGTAGCCTGTGATCTGGGCCCCTTTTGAAAATACTGGAGTTGTTCCTAGAAGGCATTAACAGCCTGTGCAAGGAGTGCTCAGCTAAATTCTGTCTTGAAAATGGCTGGGGTGGGGGTGCAGTGAGAATGAGAATTCTCTTTCCATGAAGTTTCCTAGAAGCTCTTCGAGAGCTGGGAGGGGATGGGAACACTAACCAAGTAGAACAAGATTATAGATCAGTTGTCAGATGGGCGAAGAAATCTTTCCTTTTTTTGGACAGATTGCTTGCTGAGGATCATCAACTATTTAGGACATATTCTTTTTTTCTCCTTCCCTTAATTTTTTATTGTTGCAATTCCTCTCAGACCTAGTGATATAAATATGAAACACCATTATGACAAAATAATATCCCATTTGTTTTCTGAAGCCAGTCTTTCAGTTCTGATTAGAGAGAAGAGGTATCTTGTTGAAATTAATATATTCACTGACTCTGAGAGTAGGCTGCTCAAGATCTCAGTAAACAAACAGAAATGTAAACAGTGAAACTCTAAGCCAGCTTCACATTTCCAGGCAAGGGTGCTCTCAGTCTCAGCAAAGGAATGAAAAGGAAAGAGGGATCCCTCTCTTCTTCAGTGGAATCTCTCCTGATCTTGGAGATAGGCTCGGTGTTGTGAGTACATTTAAGTGCTCATTTTCTCCTTGGTGCAGGTGGATGCCAAGTGATCAAAATAGAGCCATCATTTCTACCACCCACCTATTAGTCCTGTATTCTGTGTCAGTAATGATTTAGTTATATTTGCTTGTGAATGTCATTCTTCCCACTCAATTACTACAGTAATGCAGTCCCTAGAATGAACAAGCCTATAATGATGCTCTGAAATGCAGTAGGTTTATTCCTATCTGCATAAAAGATGGGCATCTAGAAAGCGATATATCTGTACCTCCATAAGGGAAGTGATACAATTGTGCTGATTTTGAGAAGAGCTAAGTTGCCTAAAAGTGGGCATCTATCCCTCTCAGATGTCTAAAATGGTATCTAATACCATTGCAAGGGGGTGGAAAGTATGCCAGAAGTTCCCCAGGGAGAATCACAGCTTTCTGGACCCATGGCTGGAAAGCAGGTGGACTTTGGCAGCTTTGGAAACTTGAAGCAAAGGAAAAAAAAAAATAAATAAATAAAATGTCACAAGGCAAAGTCCCACCACTGAGTAAGGGCACTGAAGGAGATGCTGGGTGACACAAGAAAACTGAGAGGAGAGGATGAGCAGGAGAAGGGAAAAACTGCGAAAATGGAAAATCACTGTTGTCTTGAATGTAAAGAGAAGTGTGTATGAAAGTCAATGAATCACAGCCATCAATATGCAGGAGCAAGAATGAGGGCTGATTGGAAAACTGCTTTTTTTATCCATATATTTTCTGGTAGAAAATTAACAAACTCAGACTGAAGATCATTGTTTGGGGTCTTAACTGAAAAAACTAACCACCTACCATATCTAAACAAGTGCTGTCTTTCACTATTGACAAGCAATAAATGAAAACTGAAAAAGCAACTGCCCCCGTTTCCCTCCGAGATTCAGAATCATAGGATCAGATAGGTTGGAAAAGGCCTTTAAAATTATCAAGTCAGCCATCACCAACCATTACCCAAGGACTGCCAAGACCACCACTAAATCATGTAATTTGATGGGAAATAGACTTTTCCACAAAAATGTCCATGCTAATAGAAAAAGCCAGGACACAAGAAGAGAAAACAGTGCATTAAAAATTTCAGACACTTTTGAGATTTTCTTTTTGTGGCACTTCCTGAAGTTGGATCAGCTTTTGCCTAATCCTTGCTGAGATCAGCACCCAGGATACCGTCTGGGCATTAGCGAACAACCCTAGTGATGCTTTTTGTGCCCCTGCACTGGATGAGCACAGCATGTGTGTTCCATGGGTATTGTGCAGGCCTTCAGGAGCTTCATGAGCCCTCTGAAACCCACAGCACAGCCAAAGGTGCCTCAAAACTGAAATGTTGCTGAGCCTAGCAAAGGTATGATCGATCGTTTGCCAGTGATGCCTTTGGTAATTAAAGATCACATCTTCCTGTTATAAACCTTCCAGAAACAGGATGTCTTTCTCAATTCTCTCAATTTTCTTACCATTAATATGAGATGAGAACCTCAAGAGAGGGTTGCACCATCTGTGAGCAAGTTTCTAAGATGAGCAGCAAGAAAGCCCTGTTAAGAAGCCTCGACATAGTTTGCACAGCAAAACTTTGAGGTTACTCCTGCCGTCAATGTTAAGTCCTTGCATTGTCACAGTTCATAGCCTGCAGGAGTCCAAACCATCCTTCCCTGCTTCTGCACTCCACTA